AACGAGACGTCTAACCAGTTACATCTGCTCTCCAAGTAAGAAAAGTGAATAAGTTTAAGACGACTCTCATAAGAAAGCAGCGGTATTGCCGGGTTCCATCTGAACTTTTTATACGGACGCAATCTGATAAATGTAGCACCTATAGCTCAGCGATCAACCGTCGACGGAACGCTTTAATAAAGGCTTAGAAAATGCGGTCAATAACTTCTTACTAATATAAGAGTTGTTAAATCCCTACAACTAAGATCTAATCAACCCCAGCAGAATTCTCGCTTTGTTAACGGTAGCTTCGACTTGCAAGTTAAAGCTCAAAATTTAGAATCGAGTATAACCCCCAAATCCATGAAGTTAGAAACAAACTCCACCTTATGAGTAACACTGTAGCAGTCAACAGCAAACGGAACTCCCCTGCAAAGCATTAATTGGTTGGTTTTTTTAATTTAAGTGACATATTATTACATTCGCAACAAGCATAAAGCTCGGAAAGGTCAGAAATCCGACGCTTGCTCTCGCCTCAGGTATAGAAAGCAAGAAGCAGAAAAAGGAAAATAACTTACCGTCGTTCGCAAACATTAACACATTAGAGCATTTAACGCAGGTCGGTATGTCACTAATAAATACAATAAAAGGTAACGGCCCCAAATGACTCCCCTGTGGAACACCAGATATGATTTCTACAGACTGTGATCTACAAGAGCCAAATGACGCGCCCAATGTGCGATCAGTCAGATAAGATGTAATTTAGAAGAAATACCTATGCAATACAATTTATGTAAGAAGGGTTTATGCTCGACCCTATCAAACGCCTTAGAAAAGTCAGTGTAAACCATATCAGTTTATTTACCAACTGAGAGTAAACAAGGTCAAGCAGTTTCGTCGTAGTTGATCTAGCCATATTGAAGGGGTCATAAAACCGACATCAATGATGGTTGGAAAAAGAATTTCAAATAGTTTAGATAGGGCACGTAGTTTAGCAATGGCTCTATACTCTCTCTATGATTTTCGACATTCTTCTAGTGCCGTCCTTATGCAGGGGAATTAAAAAGGGCTCCTTCCACTGCTCCGAAAAGTACCCTTCTCTAAGAGAAGAATTAAATAAAATTGTAAACTTTGTGCGTAAAATACTAGCACAATCGTTAGAATAATTTAAAGAAATTGGAGTAGCAAATTCTTCAAAATTGTAGCAACAAAGTAACGTGCAAACAAAAATTCGATCCACTTCTTCGTTTTTATGCTGCATCAATATCATACCTAAACGATGATCGCTAAAGTATTGCAGGGACGGATTCCACCTTTGACTCTATGGTCGTTGATCAGTAGTCTGTTTTCAGCAGAAAAAGAACTATTCAATAATAATCGAAGGCTATCAGCTTCTCGGCAAACCCAAATTCAGTATAGGGAACTTTTAATACGAAAATGATCTATTTTTAATCTGACACTGCTTAATATACTTATTGTGGTCGTCGATAGGTCCAATTTTGCTCTTTTTCCATTAAACACAACATATACGTAAAACACGAACAATTTTGACTAAAATTGCCATCATGGTAAGGAAAATCTTGCACAACATTAGTTGAATTCTTTAACAATATAAAATCTGAGTTGGTCCATGGTAGACGGTTTTATCGGAGAAAATTGTATAACTCGTTCGACGAAATCTTTTAATAGATAGTTATCACAAATGGCGAATTATTCATATGTAAAGCAGTTTATTGTATTTTGTCGGATTCAGTTCGAGGGGACTTTACTTTTTTTAACCATTTCAATTACTATTACTATCATCTTTTCAGGTTAGATATGTGCAATTTCCTTCATAAAGACAGAAGAAATATTAAGAATGTCCAAGGAAAGCAGATGAATTAATTACTTACGTTAAGTTTCGTGCTGCATAACTTTGTATTCACCGTTTCCTACGGATTAAATGATATTAGCGACGAAATTAGCTTAATAACTACTAAGAAACCATTATTCAAAATTTGTCCATGGCATTAATAAACTGTGAGTCTTTTTTAACTGTGGACATGTCAGTTCACAAATTGAGGCATATTTTCCCAAAAGACCCTTAGAAAAAATTTTACGTCGTAACCTTCAAATCAGATGGAAAAATTATATGTTTGTTTTGCACTTGTATTTAAAAATTTTTTAGCTTTTTGGTCTTGCTTTGCGTCCCGAACCTAAACGACTAAGTGCGACTTCAAAACAAAGATGATAAAGTAAATCAGTGATAGTCTATACATAAACAGACCAATGAAAGAATTCTAAATGTTATAAACTTGACTTAGTGGATCCGCAACAGACATTTCTGAGCTAGAATGCTTCGCATTTTTCGCGAATATTCTATTTTAATAAGCTTTACGTCGAATGGACGAGGTGCTAACGGTAAGCGGCATTCGGTGTAAAGCAATAGAAGAGATGTGGGATCTAGTGATAAGAGGGATGGATGATAGAGAGGAGCATGTCAAACAACGTTCAGCCCAAATGTTTGCAACTTGCTATTATTGCAGGACAGCAGTGAAGAATTCATAGAAAGCAAAATTTATTTATTTATCTATTTATTTACAATATTTAGTAAATAATACTATAATAATACTATATTTAGTAAATAAATAGATAAATAATTAAATATATGATTCAATTCATGTAAGTCCAAAAGATAAAGCAAAAAAAAACTAAAGAAAAAATAAAAGTGCAATAAACTAATACAAAATTAAACTAACAGAAAATGTGTCAGAGACGCAAATGCTCTCCGAATCTTAGTCCTATGGTTAATAATTGCAATAAATCCTGTAACTACACATAAATACATATATTTATAAAATAAATGTATATATAACACAACTGAAAACCAGTTAATCAGTTCGTGTTTAGAAATTTTCTTTTAAAGGGGGCTACCGTATCTAAAAATGAAACGTATGTACAAAAGGCGAAAAAACCCCGTATTGTGAGAGACACTGAGACAGCCTAATTGGAACATAATGCTTAGAAAAACGAGGCGAAGCGTTTAAAAATAATTGCCTGAACAAAAATGGGGAACTATCGTCTCTCTTTATCAGCTTAAACACGAAGGATACTCCTAAGAAGTGAAAATCGCATGTGTCTGCAAACGGAAAGGTTCAGTAACATTAGGCTAATTCTACACCAGTATACCAACGGTAGTAAATCGCGAGTGAGAATCTCAATATCCATTACGCTTCGAATAGAGTGAAGTAGCTTAACGTCGTCTGTAAATATTAAAATATTACTGTGCTGACTGATTCCAGGAAGATTGTTAATAAATACAAAAAAAGCAAGGGCCCCAAATGTATATATTATATCAAATGCAAATTTAATTTCTTACAATATTATCTATATTCGCAATCAAGGAAGCACTATAGCTAATGAGAACGTGCCAGTCGTTAATAATACTATAGTCAATATAGCGACATCGGGAGTGGGATCTGAACCAGTTATTATGCCTACTTTTGAGTTTTAGTACCGCTGATCCCTCCTCTTCAGTAATCAACGCCATCGCTCATAAAGTGGGCTTACGATTTCTATTACCGAAACCTTTACCAAAAAAATGCCTTATGGTATTCCGGAACAAGCAAATATCATCTCGGAATAGACAAATTTATATGCTACCTTTTGTGTGCGATTCGATAAGTGCGACGCAAAGCATATGACTACACAATCAGGAAATTCAATTTTTGGCAGCTTCGAAGTAAGAAGGTCACGATTAACTCAATCAAATGCCTTACTAAAGTTTGCGAAAATAATATCACTTTGATTATTTTCGGAAAAAGCCTTAAAAATATAATTAGAAAGTTTTAGTAGATTTGTAACGGTAGAATTTCCACAGTAAAACCCATATTACGATGAGGAAACCTCCGACCGACAGAACGAATCAACCGATTAGTTACAAGCGACTGATATAATTCTGATGTAACACTAAGTTTAGCAAGGCCTTTGCAGTTAATGATGCATTGACTGTTATCATTTTTATGAAAAGATACTAAATAGATAGTCTTCCATAAGGGGGAGAAGGCGATGCATTGCAGACATTTGCTAGTCGCTTACAGAGTACATTATCGGCATTAATATGAATGCAAGATGGAATACCATCACGACCCGGCCTAGCGCAATATATTAAGTCTTGCAGGGCAATAAAAACTTCTTCTTCGGTAAAAACAAACCGGTAAAACCAGATTTTATTTCAAATGGATTCGTATAATTTTTTGTTATCACAACGCATATGTGTTGGTATCAATTGTGTTTTACGCTTCGATTTAGCGAATCTGTGCAACGTTTTAGTTGATTTTTTAGGATTTGCATATCTTAGAACCAAATGAGACAAGAGCTCCACCGTTTAGCGAATGTAAAGGGAACGAAATTTTAAATAGCTTCGCTTTTTAAAATATAGAATTCAGGAAGCGGGTATTTTAAATTATTATATATTTTATAATTAAGGAAACATTTGCTTTATTAAAGATATACAGTTTCACAATGGCATCGCCCGTTGCTAAATTTGTAGTAGTAATATCCAATGAAAATGTGATAAATATCTTCAGGAAGAAGGACGGATCTGTTAGGCAAACTGATATATTTGCCACGTTGTTGAAGATTGGATGAAAAGAAAATTAACGATAGTATTAAGTTGGGTAAGGCATAAGCTGCACATATTTTTAAAGACGATATGTCGTGGGACGCTCTAGAGACATAAGACGGCACCAAGCGGTATGAATCCATTGTTCTTGCCGTGAAGGGAAGAACAAAAGAAATCGGAAAAAAAGAACTTTAAGACGATTGTGAAAATTTTTATAAAAATGCTTCAATAACTGAATTAAATGGCGGCATAGCAATGCCTTAAAAAATAGATTATTTTTGATAGGGATTAAACAAAGTTCACGAATTAACGGAAAAACGGTGTTGCAGTTTTATTTTTCGCAACTCCTACTAGGAGAGTAAAATGCAATTTATTTTGTGTTTTCATTTGTAGTGATTTTTTTTTCTTTGTAAATTACCTTTAATTACGGTAACAAGTAACAAAAACATCCAAAATAATGTGAGAAATTTCTTAAAATTCATTTTTTATATATATGTGTTTTTTCTTTTTTATTTGAGCTTTAATCTTTAAAAAAAAAAAAACTTTTCTTGTAACACAAATGTACTTTTAAGTTATTTATTATAATTAATTCTTTTTTCCAAAATTAATTTTATTAAGATATATATGTTCATATATATATATGTATATTACTTTTTTATAACTAATTTCAAATTTTCCGATTTTTCCGTTAGGCTTTCAGGTTAAATTCAAACTGTCCACAAGAATGAAAGTTGCAAAGGATTTTATAGTTGAAACAAAACATAGACGCAGAGCTTATGAATTCTTATGAATTTACGGCTACTTATCAGTCGTACATGAAAAGAATACAACAACTTCCTACGCACACGTATACACTCAACAATTTAACAAAGAAAGTTAGATAAGGCTAACGTTCACGAGGTGATTAGAAAGCATGCAAAATAGAAAATATAATTATTAATACGCATAACGCAGAAGCGAGCAGTCAGTCATTGGTTGCTTAAAGAGGAGGTGACAAATAATTCCACACTGGATGTTAAGTTTAATAAAAAAGTTAAGAAAGCAAACAACAAGAACAACAGCGAAACATGTTAAACGTAGTTGTGTAGGAATAAATAGAAAAGGAAGCAACAGATGGCTAACTATCTTTTTAACATTTATTTTGAATAAATCGTCAATTTATTATCAAAAGCTTTGAAAGGAAGCTTTTTACTTAAACTTGCAGCTACAGGAAAAAGCTTTTAAAATTTTCATTTGGTCACCCCTAGTCGATTTTTTTTTTTTGTAAAATGTAAGTATAATGTAAGTTATATGAAAGGTTATATGAAAGGTGATAAATATAAAATTTCTTAAAAGCGAAAACCTCGCTTAAGTTAAACTTTGTTATGACCGGTCGTGACTTTTCATTTATTATGATGCTGACAACATTATAAGTAGTATGAACACGCATATCAGATCTTTATTATGCACACTTTTTCCTATCGTCATAATATTATTTGAAGAGTGCACGGCAATTTTTTTAGCGTTACTTATTCATTATGTAATTTACCGTACAATAGGAGATTCTTCTATAATTTATGGTTATGTTTTGGATTTTAGATCAAGACAATCTAATAATGATTTACATATGACACGAAAAAATAATCTTATGCGCAATCTTGAAATCGAATTTATATTAGATCGCTTCAATTTAAGAATTGCAACTGAACATATTGTTATGAAATTCGCTTTTACTAAGATACAGTCCGTATCACTAGATCGTGGATATTTTGATCAAGAGAAATGCACTTCAAAGTTCTTTTATTTTACTACTTTGTCTTTCACAACAGTAGGAATATTTATTTACAATTTATTTTGGCCGTACTCTCAACTTCTACGTTCTTGCCCGACTAATTCTCCCTTCTACAAATACTCTATTTATATACAATTTTACAAGCATCTTACTATACCTAAATTTATGGTTTTATTTCTAATCTCAGCCTGCTTTTCCCATAATCGTTTTCATCGGCCTGCAGCTGCATGAGGCGCCTGCGAATGCTCATTTGGTTTTTCCTCCTTCAGGGAATTTATTATTACGAAAATTACTTAGCTGACATTAACTGAATTTGGGATTTTCGTAACAATATAATACACGTAACCTAATGCAAGGGCTTTACAAGTTGTCGAGGAGGAGTCATTGCGAAGACAGCCTCTATTGTAAGTCTTGGCTTTAGTCGATGTCTTTATTAATAACAACAATGGTCGTCTTAAACTAAGGAGTTGAATTCTTTTATACAAACCAATTGTAGCGACAAAAATTGACATGATCTTTGGCATAAGACCTGCCGACAGTACAATTGACTCCGTATATTTTCCTCAAACGGCTTAATTCTGCCAAAAGAGTTGAAAAATCGAAAATTGTCAACCAGTTATTCTAGCAACGCTGTGAAACACGCTTGCCTCGGCGTTTTACTAGCAACGAAATTATAGCTGCATTCCAAATAAAAACCATGCATATAAGCTGAAGAAAATTCAGATTGGTGCTAATCGTGCCGTTGTCACAGAAGGCATAAGCGAATGGTTTCTGCATAAAAATACGGCAGGGAAAAATACTCTCCCCAAAAATTTTCTATTCCAGTTAGGAGAAGAACTTGCTGCGGAATATAAAATAAGTGTGGAGAGGGCTTAGTAGAGCAACCACTGATTTGTAAAAATTCTGGTATTGAATTACGAAAAGATGTGATTAAAATGTGATTTTTATGGTTAGTGTTGTTTTTTTTTTTTTGTTACAAAGATTGAATTTTTATACATGAAACTGAAGTTTCATTAAGTCAATAATGATGATATTACAATGTTTGACCATTTTTCCAATAAAAGTAAAAAATGGTGGAGATAATATTTTTCAATTATTGTTCTCGTTATACTGCTGAAATTATCTATATTTAGCTGATAATTTGAAATCCCGACAGTTTAGGCAATTATTGCAAATATTTCCATTCAAACGCGAAGGTGTCAAAAGACGCCTTTCGGTCGAAAACGATATACACAAAATCGTGGTGGAAATAGTGTTAAACTTATCTTTTAGTTTGCCATGTTATAAGGTATTTTACGCGACCATTTTTTCTTCAACTGCATTTAATCAATAAATATATTTCGTTATAAACATAAATTAGAACGAATCAAATATTAATATTTGTTAGAAGTCAACCTACATTTGTTTACGGAACTACCAATCCAAAGGGAATTGTTTATATAAAAAGTTCTCATTAAATTCTAGAAAAGTAACGCGGGAAAACTATGGAAAATTTAGTTAATTAACATCAAAAACATCGTGTAAAAACCCCCGCTAATTATACAACAAATGCGAATGGAAATTTGCTTCAAGTTTCAAAGGACTAAGGACTAAAGTACCTCAATACATATATGATGTCGCAACGACAATCTCATCCAGTCAATGTTTTGCCATTACATTGGCACAGAGGAAAGTAGCCATGCACGTAAATCCCTATTAAAAATACATATGTATGTAACATATATATGCTTCTATGCAAAATAAACGTAAGCGTTAAGGTGTCTCAAAACGTATTCACAATTTCTTTTCTTAATAAAGTAAGGCGAGCTTTCTTTGATGCCCTCCCTCCAAAACAAAATGGTATTCCGCAGACTATTTGGAATGACCGAAAGTCTTCTTGAATTCTGTTTAAAACATTTTTTTCTCGTAGGAATTGTTCTACACAATACAAAAGCAACTTAGACAAAAATCCATAATAATCTTCTTAATAAAACGACTGGGATTTGAAAAAGCCAAACTAAGAGGAGAAACACTTAACGGCAATGCTCCAAAGGATTATAAAATAGCAGAAAGAACTGTGCGATGCTATGAACAGAATTTTTGATTTTTGCGCAAAGAATCGAAGAATTATGTGTTTTGGAATACTTTTATACCGTTTTTTAGCCACGCTTGTTGACTGTAGAAAGAACATTTTAATGCTATGAAAATGGGCAGGAGTTCATTGATAGATTTGATGCGTTAAAGGTGCAATGTTTTATGCAGGATTTATAATTATTTCATAAATAAAACGACTTCATTTTGCTAATATTACAAATCTATATCGCACTATCAGACAGAACAAAAAACCAAAATATTTAGTAGTCATGATTAATGAAAATTGCATTATAACTGATTTTCATATTTTCGAATAAGTGAAGTGTTTTTTAAGCGGAAGGACCAATATTTTGGACTCTACTAGAAGATAATAATTTAGGGATGATGTATATCAGAAATCATCAGCTTGGTCACATATGTTGTGTTCTTTTAAGATCAATTGCTGCAGTTTAGAAGAGAAAAGTGGTATATATTACTACAATACTACCTTCATAACAGATCTTGTGAGCTGTGGGTCTTTTAAAAAACCCATAAAGCTTCCTACGTCCCTTTTCGGAATGGAATTCTTTTTACGAAATCCGGGACAATTTGATAATAACGTTTCATATTGGTATACCCAACATCTGAATAATAAAGGTGTAAATGTAATTACGCTTACTCGCATATTATATGATGGCTCGCATTTCTTTTTTGTATTATAAATAATCAAATGAAAGGGAAAATTTTCATATGACACATTTTTTATTACAGAATTTTCTTAGAAATTCGCAACTTATAATGAAAATGGTGATTTATCTTGTGATCAAATCTAGAGAAAGCAATATGTGAAATGGAAAACGCAACGAAACATAAACAATAAGTATATTAGCATTTTCTTGCATGTAAATAGAAAAAAATTCGAATTCATCTGATAATATTTTTGTTTTTTCTTCTCTTCTTATGAAGAGATAAAAACGTATACATTTAGAACAATTTACACACATATATACATCTCATTATACACTTCATATATACATATATGTATATATATATATATAAAAAATTTTCAAATAAAGTCTTCTATCATCTATATATATATATATATATACGAACGAAAGGAAAATTCTACAAAAATTTTAATGAGAATGTTAGAGATGATAGCAGACTTTATTTGAAAATTTTTTTTATTTGTACTCATCATATCTGTATATTGTAATAAACAATGGGCGAAGAACATTGATTTAAGTCTTTTCCAATTCCGGTTAGAAGCTAAAACATTTTTGAAACGTGCGATAGGGTCGCTTAGAATTCTTCAAAATCTATAGAATAACTGAGAGCTTAATAATCCTGCCCTGTTGCGAAAATTGTTCTCACATTTCTCACACAATCGCACTGCGTTCCACGACGTTGTTATTGTAATCCGAGAGCCTTCAGCTTACGGTACCTGCATGGCTATAGAAATTACGGCTATAATTTTATTATTTTTAAGAGAACGGCTATCAATATTGATCTTAAGTTTTCCCATCTAATAACATCAACTTAAAAATTCAAAAGCATCTACTTTAGTAAAAGTCCATATATACACATAGGCTCGTTATTTCCTGCTGCATTAACGTTGCCACAAAATTATTGAACAAAATTGTTGCTCTCTAATGAGTATTCGGTATATACTTTTA